CCTCCTACTGTGCGGCTCACCGAGCTCCTTCTGCACGTGCTGCGGCAGTCCCAGCACTGTGCTCCGCCTCTCGCGCCGCCGCCGCCCTGACTTCCCAGACGATTTGGAAAATGAGTCATGGGGTCGGAAGGTAGAGCCTGGGGGCCAGTCCAGGGGAGAGAAACTGTTAGAGCAGGTCTCGGGGCACATTGTGCAGAGCACTGCTTTCGTAGAATAACTAATAAGAGCTCTGCAAAAAAAGATCTCCATAATCAAGTAGGCGCGGGCAAAGCTAGGTTAAACAAAGCTAGACACTTCTTTTCGGTACGACTTCTGGAAGGCTTTACTAGGCCGAGGATAATTTCCATTTAGTGAACAATTATTATGTGTTAGTCAGCATGCTAAACACTTGGCATTCATTCCGATAATGTAAGTACTCTTATCCTCATTTTTATAGCACATCAAACGGAAGATTGGAGTGGCTGAGGGTTGGCCCAAGGTCACACAGCTGGGAAGGAGCAACACCAGGCTCAAAACCAGGTTTCCTGACTCCTAACCGTCCTGCTTTGCAGTTGGGTGTGCATCACGAGTCTCCAAGAAGACACAGGATACTGTGTTTCCTGAATTCACTGACTCACAGAGCTTGGGGAGGTGCTACATTAGGAGGAAAAGGGGAAAGTTGCAGGGGCTGGGGCCCCAGATAGTGCCCACCACCCCTCTGCCCCGTCCAAGAATCCGGGCTGGTGAGCAGACACCTTTGCGCTGGATCATCTCTGAGCGGATAGAGAGAGCATCCTCTGCTGTGGAGCTCTCAGCCGTGTAGGATGTGGTCTGGCTGCAGAAGGAGATGCTATCTTCATCCGGCCCCATCCGGGAAGACTGTTGGGGGAAGAAGGAGATGAGGCCCTGGCCTCAGGCCACCCCAGAAGCCTACGTGGGCCTCTTGCTGTTGCCTCTTCAGGGCTCCCCTGTGGAGCTTTGGACTCCGATTCTCCCTGGCTTCACCTAGCACTGAGCAGACCTCAGCTGGACTAGCCCTTAGGGGTCATCTAGTCTACCCCTTCGTGATACAAGAAGGAAACTGAGATCCAGAAGGGTTCAAAGACATACTTGCCAGAGATTAAGCAGGGAGGGAAAATCAGAGTCAGGACTGAGCTGGGAGCAGGGCTCACCTGGATGCTCTGGGTGTCTCCATGGTCCCAGCCACCCTTATTCAGTTTCTGTTTTTCTGGAAGACACCAGAAAGGTGCGTTGGGCTAGGCCCCTGACCTTGGAAGCCAAGAGTAGTGCTGGAGGGGAGAAAGTTACCTTGGTGCTGTAGGGAACGGAGCCCCTCCTGGGCCTGTGTGTGCAGCTCTTCCAGGTGAGGCGGCCGCCCACTGGGGAAGAAGACATTGTCCTGGTGCTCATCCACTACGGACCCTGGCCCCTGGCCAGGCCCCACACTTAGACGTTTGTCACTCTCAGCCTTGGCAGAGCCTAGTGGAATGGAGGAGGAAGAGAAGTGAGGCCTGAGAGCATGTGGGTCCTGGGGATGCACAGGCCCCACACAACAGCACCCACAGTCCCAACACTGCACACAGCCCCCAGACATACATGCAACGCCTACTTCCCCCAATCTGTACACACAACTCACAGTCCTGTGTTATACACTCAATACACATGGCCCCCATGTACATGTACAAACTCTACCCAAGCGTGCTTATTATATCTGAGTACCCACACCACACAAAGGACCCCATACAGGTCACCATACCCAGGCACACATGCCCACCATACAGGCACACAAGCCCCACAGGCCTCAGTCTATATACACACCCACAGACTCCAGGATGTACACAAACAGCACCCAAGTATAAACACCTCGGAAACCAGCATCAAACACAGGGGCCCCCAGAGAACATACCCAGCCCCCACAACGTCCACGGTCCCCATTCTGTACATATACAAACAGTACCCAAATATACATACAACTGTGCATCCACACGTCACTCAGGGCCCGACACAAAGCACCCCAATATACACACAGCCCATAGCGAATACATTTCTCTTGTCTCTACACCCCAAGCTCCACTTTAGGGAAAACCAACCACCCCTTTCACACACCCCCTTGGCCCAGGCCCAGGAAGACACCGTGGGACACTAGGGAGGGCTGTGGGCTAGCAGGGGTCCTACAGAATTCCCATGAAGTCCTGGGAGGAGGGACAAACCAGGGACATGGCCTCTGTGTCCCCTACTCACCCATGTGGCTGTCCCTTAGTGGAAGGATGGGCAGGGGAGGGGAGAAGGCGGCCCCGGGGGCCCTCCACCCCCAGACAAGGCAGCCCCAACCTCTCTTGGGAGAACAGTCCCAGGCATCCCCCTCTCCTAGAGGCCCCAGTCCCCGATGCAGAGGAGCCAGGGATCCGTTACAAAGGATCCTGTTACAGGCCCCGCCCATGGGGAAGCTGGTCATCTAATCCTGGGAATGAGGGGCTGTGTCAGCACTTTGCAGCCCCAGCCCCCCTTTAAATGGAACCCACAACATAAGCAAAAGCACTGGGAGGATCATGTGACCTTGGCAGCACCTTGTAGAGGGACAGGAACAAAACAAGCCCTTTAAAGGGCCACGCCTCACAATCAGGGGCTTCAGCTCAGACGCCTGCCCATTCCTACCTCCTCAGCCCATTCTTCAGCTCCTGCCCAGGGAACCTGGAGGAACCCTACAGGGTCAGAGCTCCTAGGTCTCCCGACAACCCAAACCATGGAGTCTCGCCTAATCCCTGAATTTTACAAGTTGGGGAAACAGGATTGAAAAGGAAAGGCCTTGCCTAAGGTCATCCAGCAAATCAGAGTCAGTGCCAGGACTAAGCTCCAGATTCCCAGAGGGGACTCCTGAATCACACTCAAAGCGAGGATCCCCTCCCACCCCCCAAAAGTCCAATAAACTCTGGCCCCCATGTCTTAATCCAGGCCTAAAAGCCCAGTTCCTAGAAGCAGAAAGCGGGCAGAGACCCCTCCCTCCAAAACTTCTCCACCGTCCTGCCCTCCGCCTCTAAACAGCATTTCGATGATCATGCCCCAAATTCCAGCGGGGCTACTTTCCTCTCTCCTCTGCTCCCCACATCCCATCCTCCCACACATGCTGACTGACCTGGGGGTCGGAGGGGGTGCTCTGCCTCTCAGACCCGAAGCATGAGGATGCACCCAGTACAGTGTGGGTACCTCCGGAGGAAGCAGTCTCGCCCAACGGCTGCAGGCTTCAAGGTCAGAGACACCTGGACCCATCCTCCCAAACCCAATCAAGCAGGGCCCAGACAAAGGCAGCGGAAAAGCCACTGGACAAAGGCACAGCGGAGGACAGGGCAGTCTGGCCGCCTTACTGCTCCCCATCCCCCACCCACTACCCTTCCCCGGCCTTGATCCCCCTTTTTACAGAAGGGTCTGGCAAATGGAGGTGTCGGGGTCCCTCCTCGCCCCCTCCCCAGCCACACCCACTCACCCTTCTTCTTAAAGAGCCCGAGGAGCACCGGGAGGCGGCGGCCCAGGAACACCACCATGACTGCGGGCGCCACCAGGGCCGTCCCCTATTCCGGCCTCTCCGGATCGCCGGGCGCCGCCTTCACCATAAGCCGGCACCGAGTGGTGCAGTCGCCCGCCCAGCTGCAGAGCTGACTCCAGGCAGGGAGGGGGAGGGGCTGCTCTCCAGGTCCTCCTCCCACCTGCGCCACTGATCCCGCCCCTCGAGTGGAGTGCAGAGGCAGGAACGGTCCCAGATTCTGACGGGGAAACTGAGGCCCGGAGTCTGCGGATGCTTAGCTCTGGTGGAGAGCAGGACTAGCAGGACTGAAGATGCTCAGGGCCCCGGGGGCAGACCACTAACCCGTCCCCAAGTCCTTTTCTAAACAGTCAGGAGCCAAAGCCATGGCAGGGGTCCCAGCTGCCAGATGGTGGGTAGAAGAGCCACTAGACCACACTTGGCATGATGCCCATCCCCAAGTCCTCCTGGCTGGTGAGGGTCATTCCCTGGGGAAGGAACTCAGACATGGAACAACAGCCTGGCAGAAGCCCAGAACTGCCTGTGCGGGCAAGGCCATCGGCAAAGGCCCCTGGAGGGGTGGGAGCCAGCCCAGGACACAGGGACACCGGGAAGCCAGGGAGTTGTCCAGAGCAGAAACACAGTGGCCGCTGGGAACAACTCCTCGTGTGTCTGTTCAGACCCACGCTTTCCAGAGGACTTTCTTCCCACTTCGGTCATGTGGGAAGCAGGCCAGAGAAGCACTGTGAACTCTCCAAGGTCACACGGCAGAGGCAGGCTTCATCGTATACCTCTTGCTCCTCCAGCCCAGGACCCTTCCCACTGGCCCCACTCTGTGACTTGGTGACTGTTGGATCACCAGGCTGAGAGAATGGAATTAGCCAAAAAAACCTGGTCGTAGGCAAGGGCAGTAAAAATGAGGGGTAGGAGGAGGTAACTGGAGGGAAGACAGCTCCAAGTTCAAATTCAGCTCTTGTCACACCCAAGTCATGACTTCATATGGAAACAAGACCAATGAACTCCTCCTTACAAGACTGTTGTACCCATTCATTCAATCAGCAAGTATTTATTAAGCTAGTACGGGGGCCATAGCGAATGGAGGAGAACTTTATCTTGTTCACTCTAGCGCCTAAATCAGTGCCTGTCATACTGTGAGTTCAATAAACATTTGACAAATACATCAACAAGGTACACTAAGAATACAATTTTAGATTAGTGAACACTGAGGAGCTATGATAGGGAAGGGGGCACCTCTAGGGGGTATGAAGGAAAGTCTAAGGAAAGGCCATTGGAACCAAGACCCGCAGAAGGCGAAGGAGCGGGCCAGGGCAAGTGCTGGGCGCAGAGCCTTCTGGACTGAGACAGCAGCCAGTGTAAAGGCCTCAAGGCAGGAGTGGGGGCAGGGGGAAGGGGGATGGGGGGAGGTGTCTCAGAACAGACAACGGGAGGCCAGTGGGGCGGGAATATGGTGAGCAAGGGAGAAAATGGCAGGAGCCAGGTTGGGTGGGGCCCCATAGGTCAGCATGGAAGGTTCATCTGGGCATTGACAGTGTTAAGAGATCCCCTTGGGCAACTCCAGAAAGAGTAGCTGGTAGCTGAGGCTGTGGAAGAGAAAGTCTGTGAAGCACTGCCCCCAAAATCATCTCAGGACACCACTCTCTCGCGCAGCACCTTTCTCCCTGAGTCGATAAGAATTCACAGTGGCTCCCACGCGGCAAACAAGGGGCTTCCCTCTGCAGCCCCTTCCCCATTTGCTGCCCCGCCTCTCAGAGACCACTCAAGCAGACGCTGAGCCCTCACTCTCTGGAGAACAAGCTTTTGTGCAGCTGGATAGGATGTAAATCCACAAATCATTTAAATCTAAACAAACAATCCTAAGAAGTAGGCACTTTTATCCCCATTTGACAGATGAGGAAATGGAGGCCAGAAAGGGCAAGCTGGGAAGGGTAAGGTGGCATTTGCCCTCAGGACAACTTGAACCCAAAAGCTATGCCCTGTCTGCTGTGCGAGCTACAAACCTGATCTCCCCTCTGAGGAAGGGCTAAGGGACCCTATCATCCCCAGAAATTCGAGGTTTCTTGGCCACATCCTCCCCTTGTCCCTCTCTTAGGCCAGACCCATCCGCCCCTTATTAGTCCCGCTCAGACACAAAGAGCAGTAGCCCCACACTTGCAGGGAGATTAATGCCAGGGGCTGGGGGAAGGCAAACAGTCTCTGCCCTCAGGGATCTTACAACAGCCCTTCGAGGCAGGTTCTCGAACATACTGTCCCGTAACTGATCCTGGACCCATGAGGCTCAGAGAGCTAGGCGACTTCCCAAGCTCTGGCTGGCTCCAAAACTGAAGACTTTAATCACGCAGGACACAGTCATCCTCAGCTTCCCCCTAACCAGGGAAACTCGGGGGTGAGCTCCACGAAGGGCGTGGGGAACAGCAGCTCAAGGTCCCAGGCCCACAGCTGGCTGTCAGGGCCACAGCTGCAAATTCCCAGAGGATCCAAGGCTCTCACACTTGATAACATCTGGTTGCTCTAGCAACACCCCTCCCCCCCTCCAGCTCGGCCAGGGCCCGAGGTCTCTCTGAGCCACTCAAGGCTCAGGCCCACACACCTGTGACTTGCTTAGGGAGGGGCTCAGCAACCTGAGTCTCAGGTGGAGGGCAGGGTCCTCACAAAGAAACTGGGGCCGACAGAGTGGAAGACCTCGCCCAAGGCCACATTTAGAGTCCTTGTTCCAGGACCTTCTGCCCTGGTACAGTCCAGAGGTGCAACCAGGGGCTGAAGCTCACCACCAGCCTCCGCCTCCCCTCCTCCCCCACCTGCCTGAGGAAGGAAGCTTCCTGCATCAGAGAAGACACCTTGCTCTTGGCCACACCCCCCACATGAAGGGCACACCAGGAAGCACACAGGCCAAGTTCGGGAGCTCAGATCTAGTCCACCAGCAGAGGTTCTGTGCACAAGGACCTCCAAAATGTCCCACTGGGCCCCCACCCCGACAGGTGCGTGCTCTCAGGACCACATCCATAAAGCACACCCAGGTCACCCTAATCCAGCTCCTCGTCACACACCAGCACGACTGCAGACTCACACAGGGCCCAGCCAGGTGGCTGTGTGTACACAAAGGCAGGTGCATGTACCCCCCACTCTGGGGCTTTCCTGAGCCCGGGGATAGGGAGGAAAGGGGGAGGGAGCCCCCAACCCCCAAGGCCAAGTGCACATTTGTGCTCATGCGTACACATTGTCTTGGCAACATCCTCCGTGGGGTGAGGCCTCAACCTGCCCCATTCCAGAGCAAGGGGCGGGGGCGGTGGCACGCCCACAGCCAGGCAGGCCTGACTCAGGGGAGAGGAATGAGGGGGGAAGGGCACAGCTGCCCAGGTGGCCTTGCTCAGGAGCTGGAACCCTCCAGGCCTGGGCCTGACCCCACTCTCCCACCACCACATTGGACCGCAGGCCAGTCCAGGAGGCACGATTCAGAGTGTTCAGAGGTCCTGAGTCTCAACCCCTCTGTCCTGGTGGACAAACCAGGGCCCTCCAATAGGAGCAGACCCAGAACACAGGGAGATTTTATTCTCTTAGAGACAAGACAAAGGGACATGAACATCACAAAAACCTTCAGGTGAAGGTTTCTCTTTTTCTTCTGTCTCCCAGAACACCTAACAAAAACCCGAAAGCCATGTATGACTTCCCTTTTTTACACATGAGTACAAGGAGGCTCCAGGGAAAGTGACTTGCTCAAAGTCACCCAACCAGGAAGTGGCTGAGCCCACAGCCAAACTTGGGTCTCACTCAACGCTTTCATGGTCCTAAGTCTGAGGAAGTTACGGGATCAGGGGGGCTGCAACCTCAGTTCCTGCTCAAAGAGGGGGGGCTCTACACCCCACCTCTACAGGGGGGAAATCCCCCTCCTTCCTTCCCTCAGTGGGAGGCCCCACCCTAGAGCAGAGCTGCAGAGCTGACGGGCCGGTTCTAAGGTAAATATTGGGGGGCAGGGAGTGCCCCTGACAAGGAGAGGAGGATCCCATGCCTGGGGCGCCTGGGGGGAACCAGCAGCAGTGCAGGGAGGAATTAGCTACAATAATATTAATAAATGTCATAACGAGTTTCCGGTATCTGCTCCTGACAATGACATAACAATCTCTTTCAGCCAGGATGTGCGTCTGACTTTCTGAGAGCCCTTTCCTTTGTCCCTTCAAGGCACGGTTCTCCCTATTTTACAGATGGCGGGAGGCAGCCACAATGAAGTCAAGAGAGAAAAGGCCTGGGAGTCAGAAGGTCTGGATTAGAGAGGCCTTGGTCGAATGAATCAGCCTCTCTGGGCCTCAGTTTCATCTGTAAAGTAGGACTCACACCCACCTCACAGAGTGCCTGGGAAATCCGAAGCCACACACAAGCAAGTGCAAACACAAAGTGTTGGGCTCAGAGGGAGCCTCTTCCTCTCCACGGTGTAGGGATGGGTAAAGGTCCCTCTCGGGCCTTTCCACTCACAACACCATAATAAACTTGAATTTATCAAGTGACAACCAAGTGAGAGACACACGTGGTCTCACTAAATCCCCCTCGCCATATGGAGGCACTCCCTCAGGGTCAGTGACTAACCCAAGGTCACACAGCTAGTGACTGGCAGAGTCAGGGTGTGTGAGCCCAGCTCTGACTGGCTGTAAAATTCTGTTCTTCCCATGCCACCAGAGGCCTCTTCTCCCACCGACTTCCGGAGCTCTCTTCAAGTCCCAAGTGGCATTAAGGACCATTATTAAGGTCTGATAAGGGACACTTAATAAGAGCTCCCTCTCAGCTCGTCAGTGACCTAGCCCTAACCCTTCTGTTGGGGAGGGAAGGGAATTTCAGGGCCAGACCAGAGACCCCACAGCCCTGGGAGTCAGGAGCCTCAGGTTTGAGCTCTCCCTGCTCCTCAACTGCAGCATGATGCTGAGCCAGACCGTGCCCTTTTCCGAGCCTCAGTGTCTTCATCTGTGAGATGGGAGGGTTGGCGAGCCAATCTCTAAAGATCCCTCAGCATGTAGGACTCTGCCCCTAGGAGGGTAGTGTTCCCCCACTTTGGGTCAGGGCCTGGGGCAGCAAGGGGGTTCACCTTATCTCAGATTCCTCAGACCAGAGAGGGCTGGGCCAGCCCCTTGTCTGGAAGCCCAGGGTTTCCACAACCAAGTGCAGACATACAGTTGGTCATAAGTCTCCTCCAGGAAAGTGGAGGAGACAGGGAGACGCTGGGGTGAGGGGGTAAGAGGAGCGTGACTTTTCCCAGCTTTGGGACCTACCAAAGGCCCCTGGCACTCCAAGTACAGAGGCAGGGGGAGGGAAGAAAAGAATTCCAGGTGGTCTGACTCCACCAGGGACTCAGTCCATTCCTTCAATCACTTCATCTGCAAGGGGGGCCATGTGTATAAACCTGACAGTACAATGTCTGGGAAAAAGAGGGTGGTATGGTGGATGTTCCCTGGGCTCTCAATTCACATCTTCCACCAATCCCCCAAACTGCCCAGGACCAGATGCCCAGTGGGCCTGGGGAGGGGAGGGTGGGGTTGGATTCCTGAGATCCAAGGCCAAACAATCCCAGCAGGTTACAGTATCTTTCCAGCAATGAGAAGGCCTCTCCCTGTCCCCCCCGCCTTACGCTTCCCTTTGTCCAAGGGCACTGATCCAATGGACCAACCGTTCCTTGAATCTCAGTTCTTCCATTTCCCACCTGCTCCCTCTCTGAGCCCTTGGGGGGCTTCAATGCTTCATCCTCAATCCCTGCCCCTCTCCCACAGCACTTCCTTCACTTGTCCTCCCTACGAAGTCCAAACCCCCAGGACCTCAGGCTTTCTTTGCCCAGAGGATCTGCAGGCCCCTCAGTCATAAGAAACCCATCTATTCCTAAACTGATTAAGGGCACAGGCTTCAGAATCTGACAGGCTTGGTTTTGAATCTCGGTTCAGCTACCTCCTTGCTGAGTGGCCTTGGGCAAGTGACTTCACTTCTCTAAGCTCCAGCTTCCTCATCTGTTAAATGGGGACTATAATGGCTTCTAGCTTATAAGACTGTTGGGGGACGAATGAATTAACCAATGTAAAGGTTTAGCATAGGCCCTTATTTTTAGCTCTGAGTTATTATCTCTGTCACTGTCCCCCAGCTGAGCAGCCTCGAGCACAGAGACTTCATAGCCCTCTCTGGCCCTTATTCCAAACATCTGATTAATCCCAGGTCCTATCACTTCTGCCACCTCCTCCGCAGTGTCTCTGCAGCTGCCACTCCTCTCCACTCCCACAGCCCCCACCCTGTCCCCAGCCCTCACCTCACCACCTC